CCAGCTTGATTGGGGGGAGGGGAGACAGGAAATTCATAGAAAACCAGATTTATTTTGAAATTTTTTCTTGTTTCGAAGCCCCAGCAGAGATTTTGAAAGCCCTCAAAACATAAGAACTATAAAAGTAAGATTTTGTTGAACCTCTACTGCAACATAGAGCATATTCTGGCAGAAAGAAACTCTGTCTCTCAAGCCTCCAGCCATGCCAAGGGGAGGCGATTGATTGATTTCAAATATTTGTATGTATACTGTCCCACTTGATGACAGGCAGGACTCTGGATAGTTAACCCGAAATGCCTACTTGGCTGTGGCAAGGGTGACCTGCACAGCAGGGCTGGCGCACACCTGACAAGGCCAACTGTGTGGTGGGACCCCAAGTCTGCCATGCCTCCCCCTCCCCTTGAAGCTTTGATTTGCACTGATACTAGCATCCTTTCTATGCCAGGCTAAACCCTAGGTTCTTTAAACACCCTGGTGTGTTAAAGTGTTGGGTTGTTTATTTGTGTCTAGGTTTTTAATTTGCTTTCATTGTGGTGGTGGCTCTGACTAGAGATGGGCACGAACCGGTTCGTCCCATTCCTTCAGGGCGGCAGGACAGCTGCTGCCACTCCCCTTTCCCCACCTCCCCTGGTTCGATCAGCCAATCTGCAGGCCCACTCTGTCATCTTCAGCTGATCTTCCAGTGCCGGGCAAATAGCTTAGGTTTCTCTGCCCCACCCTCTTGTCTGATCTCCCAATCAGAGAAAAGGGCGGGGCAGAAAAGCCCGGGCTGTTGCTCCTGACTGGGAGATTAGCCAAGGAGGTGGGAAAAGCAAGCAAGCCGGGTCTGGTGGGCGGCTGATCTGCTGAAGAGGGGAGGGAGGGAAAGAGCAGCACCTGTGCCTGATGCCTTTACGAACTGTGATGAAACAGTTCGTGCCCATTTCTACCAGGGACATATTTTGGGTTTTATGCTTCTTGTATGTCATCCTGAGAGTTTAAGATGATTTAAAGGAGTGTTCAATAATTTTTTTTTAAATAAAACCATAAGATGGAAGCAGGAAGCTCTATGTGGCAAAAGGCCTTCCATGCTCTCATTTGCTGCTACAACCTTTATACATACATACATAGTTAGGAAAACAAAAGAGGATGGGGTGGGGGGGAGAGAGAGAGAGACAAAACAGCATAGCAGGTCAAAGCCTTAACAGTTTTCTTTTTGATGTGAGCTTTTGGGTATCAAAATCCTTTTCCTCAGACATCTGTGCATCATCTATTAATAGTGTGTGTGTGTGTGTGTGTGGGAGTACTTCTTGTTTCAGAACTCAAAAGAAAATACTGTATATGCAAATAGAATCCATAGATTAACAAACCAAAACTCATAGTGACTAAAAGAAGTATTTTATTGTGTATCATAGCAGGTTGATCATTGCTGTTGTCATTTATGCCTGTCTTTTCCCTGTGTTCTATACACAATTAAAATGATGAATTTTTATGGAAGAATAGTTGAGCAAAGAGGGAGCCTCAGGATATGGTAGACACTAGAACATATTCATTAATAGAAGTTGCAGTTTGAGAGATAGAGAAATTGGTGTCCTGTGACTACTGTGCAATTCTTAGAAATTTTTCTGACAAATGGATTTGGGAGATTCTCCTGGGTGGTGTTTGGGGCTTTGTAAAATGTCACTTCATACACAGCCTTGGCATTTGTTATTGCCCCCCTCCCCGTACCAATATCTCAGGTTCTGGTGTTTTAAGGGTCTTCCTCAGTGTGCCATCTTCATTTTGTTTGCTAACAGTACAGTGTTTTTAAAGGGTCCATGAGGTAGGAAAGGAAAGGAGTTTTAAATTAAGTTTTAAATGTGTCAAACTGGGTTTGCATTTCTTTCTGTCATCTCCCAGGCTTTGTAGGGAAGACTTGGGCAATGGTTAATTTATTTTCCTTTTTTTAAAAAAACTGCATGTTTAAAGTGAGGATTGTTTGTTTAATTCAAAACCAGGAATAGAAAGCCAGTATGTTTGATGTAATAGCAAACCTGCAGAGCAAAGAACGTCGGTGGCATTTAACGTAGGCCAAAAGAAAAGGCGGCGGCGGTGGATGTGTGTGTTTGTTTTATCAGAAAGCCTGCAGGGGCTTGAGCTTAATTCTTGTCCCCCTCCCCCCCCCCGGTGCCTTGGGGAGAAAGGCGGGGCGCGCCATCCAGTGGGACTCATCAAGCCTTGGGATGTCGGGGCAGCTCTGCTCCTGGTCAGCTTTTAAGGGCCCGATTCTGTGTAGGTCCTCTGCAGGCTCCCCGGAAGGCTTTTGTAGCACAGCCGGGCAAACGGGTGGACTGTGTACTCTTACGACGTTGTCCGTTCGCCGGGGCCGAGTTCCCGGAGGCACTTTTGTGTCCCTCTTTCGGGTCGGGGGAAGAAACCTCGTAAAGGCCAACCCGTTTGATCTGGTGGGCGCTTCTGGTCTTTTGTCAGCAGACGGAGCGGCGGGCCGCCCTTGGGCGAAGGGAGCTCGGTCACAGCAGCAAAAGCGTCGGTTCGGAGGAGCCACCAGCCTCTCTGTTGCTGAGTGCTGCTTCTGTTGTCTCCCTTGGGAAGCTGCTGGGAACCGCAACGGGGCCGTGCAGCTCCCTTCCGGTGCTCCCCTGGCGGACCCGCCAGCTGCCCCCCGCCTTGTCCGGGACTCCCGGAGGAGGGGGAAGGGAGGGAGGAGCGTCAGGGCCGCCTCTTCTTCCTCCTCCTCCTCGCTTGCGAGAGGGCGGCGGGCTGAGGAGGCGGAGCCGCCCAAGGGAAGGCGGAGGGCCCTCGGACGAACGAGCGGGCGTCAGTCGCCAGTCGGCGGGGCGGCACGGCAAT